AATTCTGACTTTAATCTCAGAATTCTGACTTTTTTCCCATGTTAAACTGAAATAAAATTTAAAAATCAGTTTAATTTTTTTTTTTTTTCAGTGGCCCTAATCCTCTTCCGTAGATATGGGAAGGTTCTTAGCAGTGCAAAATAAATAAATATGGTGCAAAATGCAGTAGAACATTGAGCTGTGTTCTTTTAAAAATATGGAGTGGATTTTGTTTCATTTTAGCTGCAAAGAACATATTTTGTAAATGAAAATTTGAAAAAATGCCATCCAGAAAGGAAACTTTATATAAAATAAGATAACCAAAACAGAATAACTGCTGTTTTTTGCAGATAATAAAAAAATGCCCACTTTTTGCACATACTAAATCCTCAGTGCTGCATTTTTCTTTGAAATGTTTGTGTATCAGAATCTAGCTGTGAAAAATCCCTGGTCTTGTTCAAACTGCTTCATATTGCTATGATTACAGCAATGGATTTTAGTTGTGCATTAATCCTGATAAATGAAACTCTTTATTGATTGAAAAACTAAAAAAATATAAATGATGTCTGGATGTTGCTGCTCTAGACACCAGATATCATGTTCTCTAATTAACCTGAAGTAAAAATAAAGATTTAAAAATCTTATTTTAAGCCTGATTTCAACAGTGATATTTTATTTTTATGACATCCTTTTTTGTGGCTTATTTATGTTTTTTTTTTTTTTTACTGTGTGTATGAACGGTGCCTCTACATCAACCTTCCTTGTTGTGCATAAAGCCCTTCCTGACCTTGCTCCTTTGACTCTCTCTTTGTTTAGACGTCATATCGAAGGGAGGGCAGTTACCACCACCAGGTATTCAATAAAACAACCGCCGGGTGGATTGTTTGGCTGATTAAGTGAATGAGTGAATCAATGAGCGGATGACTTGGCTGCCTTGTCCTCTGTGTGGTGCCAGTTGTTGTTGCTGGGCAAAACCTGCATGTGGCTGCTGTGGCGTGGCTTAGTCTGCTCTTCTCATCGCTGGCAGATCGATAAACGGAGGGGGAGGATGTTTTTAAGAGAAAAAGCTATTTCCTTTTATGATTTAAACTGTTTTGGTGTCAGTAGACTGAATTAGAAAAAGAAAGGATGAGCTCAGATCCAGTGGCTAAAAGGTTGTAAATATGAATATTCGCAAACATCCTGGACATACAATAAGGTCTTTACATATTTAGATAATTTTTGTGCAAAGGAACTCTTTCAAATCAGATGATTAATCCTATCAAATATAACCAGTCCCTCAGCGGCTCAGGAGGAACGTCTATGGATTTGGTTGCTCCACTGGAAGATGTCAGCATCTGTATTTGTAGCCTATTTTGGTCCAGTCCATAAGCCCCCCCACCCCTTGCAAAATCCAATGGATAATGGGTCTAATTTCAGAGCTCAGCTGGACGTAAAAATCACTGAAAATAGATTTATACATTCTTTTTCCTCCCATAAAGTGATATATTTGCATAATTTTGCCAGGAGGTTTATTTGCTCAACTAACCCATGTTATTGTAAACATTTTGGATTTTACAACCGAGTGCATCAAATATGAAAAACTAAGGGGCTGTAAAAGTGATGCCGGAAGGCTGCAACACATTTTTATCCACCGTAGCATTTCCCATCTCCTCAAAGTGGCATCTTAAAGTAAACAAGGGAAATGTTTACTGCAACGTTCTGGTTAGCTTGTGGCGATATGGCAGAGATTAAAAGTAAATTAAAAAGCTAGGTTGATATAAAATTATGGCCAGAAGTAACACAGTCATCGTTTAGATCTTTAATTATTTATTTGAAATTCTCAAAGGGGAAAATATGGCACGGCGTACCACTGCAGGGATTTTAGAAAATAATAAAAATGTCTGTAAATGTTTAAATTAGTTTGGATATTTTTAATCCACTAATATTTGGGGAAATATCCATTTATACTATCTAGCATTAATATTGGATATTAGAATGCTCGTATCCAAAAGTTATATTCATGGAAGGTTCTTCAGTGCGATGGTGTGGACGCGCATGACTGTTGGCAAGAAGGGTCTCCTGCAGCTGTCTGTCATACAGTTGATCTGGAGAGGCCTCTGACTGAAGACAGTCTAGTGAAGACAAGGGTTGTCTGTAATGTTTTTCATTTCATTAAGAATTCATCTTTGTAAAATTAATCTCCAGAAGCTCAGAGCTGGTCTTTCATAAACTTTATTTAAATAATTTGTTATCCAAACATTTACTTGCCTTAAAAGAACACAATTCATTCTCAATCAGACGCGTTCACGAGTCTACGGAATCCGCGGCAGACCAAACCAGATGAAAGTGCGCATTCAGCTCGGCAAAGAACTCATGCTCTTCCTCAACACTGAAGTCCTCAGACATTTTTCTTTCGTTGTTTCTTTCTTTGCACAGGTAAACAGCACATTTCTTCTTCTACGCTTGCATTATCGGCAGAGCAGACGCTGAATGCGCACTTTCATCTGGTTTGGTCTGCCGTGGTTTCCGTAGACTCGTGAACGCGCTTTTAGGAAATCCTATACACTACTGTTTATGCTCTAAAAACATTCTAAATGACTTTGTTTCGAGTAAATTCTGGATGCTACCCACTCAGGACACTTGGAATACATTGGACGAGCAGTATGGAGGAATATTGACCGTTTTTTGTGGACTTTTATGGACCTTTCTGCCTCGGGCGCCATAGACCTCCATTATTTGAATGTCAGCAGACAGCAAGAAGCCTCCCAGATCTCCAGATGCATTTGAGATATCAAAAAATACTCCAGGGTGTTGTTCAGCATGGGGGTGAGTAGAAAATGAAGGCTAATCATGTTTTGGGTGTACTATTCCTTTAAGACTCTTGCTCCAGAACCCGAAGTAGAGGCAGTGGGATTCGTACCGGGTACTTGCAACCTTCTCAGAGCACAAGCGCACTGCTCTAAGCACTAGGCCAAAACTCCAGATGCTCCTTAGTTGTTCTTTATATCATTTTGGTCAGAATATCAGTATCTGGCAGTGAAACAGGACCAGAGCATTATTCTACCACCCCCATACTTCACTAGTGTTATGGAGTTAAAAGTAATTTCAGCTTTAACTGAACCTGGTGGAGTTTGCCTGCATTGAAAGTTTGTACATTGTAAATCTTTATAATCCATACAAACAATTTGCATTTCCTCTATATTTTGAGTGGATTGTAAGAATTGGCAAAAAAGACACCTTTTTTTAAATTACATAATCTTTAAACATAAAGAAATACTTGCTGCTTTGGAAATCCATTTTAAAAAAAAGTTGTTGGTAAAAATTAAGACTCACTGTTTGAATTCTTGACATCTAAACTCTGTACTTTCCCACTTTTACATCCCCTTCCAAAAGTAGGGCGCCTCATTTCTTCTAAACATTTTCCATTGTGTTAAAAAAAAAAAAAAATACATCATTGGTATTTCTTTGTTGGTTGGTCAAAACCTAGTAATGTATTTTGTTGAGTGGAATGAAAATTATACTGATAAGGAGATTAAAAGTATGGGGTCATATTTAGCCCCCTGAGTCAATACTTTCACTGCAGCTACAGTATTTTCTGCCAACTTTCTACATTTAAACATGTCAACTTTTCCTTAAATACTCCTTATAACTTTAAGCTCAGTCACTTTGTGTAGACTTCAGTTTTCAGATTTTACTTTTTCCTTCACCCCCAAAGTTTTTCCACAAATTTAAATTTAGATTTACCCAGCAAACCTTCATGTTAAAGAATCAGTGTTTTTCTCCTGTTTCCATGTGTCTTTTTCTTGCTTTATTTAATCAATCATTTATTACTTTCCATTTATCTTTAAAGCTCAGGATTATAATTAACGGATTCTTCCACCTGAGCTGTAAATTGCTTTCCTTAGAGTTACAATGCTATCTTTAGTTTACAATTTAGTCATGCTGTTTAATTAAAAATGTGTATAAAATCTGGAGGGTTTTTTGGATAGGGTGTTCTAATCTCACTCTGCTTTAAACCTTTCCATAGCTTTATGTGTGACTTGTTTTTCTGGAAGCAGTTTTTTCTAAAGAAAATATGAGGACTTGCAATAACATCTGGATTTATAAGAGGCTCCAGATGCAAACATTAAGATTCTGTCTAATAACATCCTGGTCTCTTTTTGGGAGGTTCAGGGTGAGTGATGAAAATGTTAGTAAACAGTTTGCTTAGTTTTCCTTCTACTGTGTATTTCTGTTTAAAACACAAAAAAATATAGTAATGAAAAGAGCAACATGAGAGGGAATACTATAGTAAGGCAGTGTATTGTGTATTTTATCTATATTCTCATGTTTTAGAAAGTATTCTGATCATGATTCCTTTTTAAAATCAGCAAATTTAGGTTGATATTTTATTAGCTTGGCTTTTCCTGATTAATTAATTGAGCAAGATGCGAAGGATAATCTTCATATTTATATAAATTCTCTGGCATGACCACAGCTTTATAAAAACAAAAAATGGAAATGCAAATAAAAGCATTACATTTTTCCCCAGTATTTATTAACTTTTTTTTTTTGCTTTAAATGGTTATGAATAGCAATGAACAGCTTGCATGAGCCTGTGTGTTTTCCTTAATCCCCTGCTGTGCAGCTCCATTTTCCTCTGATCATGTCTTGCAGCCCACATTAATTTACAATCTTGATTGGTCCTGATAAAAATTGTGTGCTAATCATTTTTCCATTTGCCCCAGGAGAGTGTTAACAGGAGTTAATATCAAAGAGTGAGGCGATTTCTCACAGCTGTCTGAGCACCGTGTACAGTGCATCCGGCACAGTAACAGACTCCCACTAGTTTGATCTACTGTGAGGTTTATCATGTGTGCAATACGCTCCCATCCACCTAATGATCAGTCACCATGTGTGTGACAAGCTGAAGCTGCCGATCAATAATGGAGTATATGTGATGTTTGCATGTTTATTTAAGCATTAAAGAGTCATTCTGCAACGCTTGACTCACTTCATCACTTGGCTGCACAGCTGGAAGGTTGTTCAAAATAGCTTTTCTTTCTTCTATGCTGCCTCCTGTGAGCTTGAATGAGCTTAGCTTGTCGCATTGCATTCAGGGTGCAATGGAGGTGGAATCAGCAAAAGTACTAGAAATCCATTTTTCATTTGTAAGGAGTTCAATGGAATTACCAAGCAGCAGATGTTGTTTAAAAGACCAAATGTGTTTAGCATTTTCCTGCATCATTCTTCGCTGTGTCCCAGAAGGATTTAGTCTCACCACAGCGGCTCAGCAGATGTGATCTCAACTCTCTTTTTTACATTTATCTGATCTCCCTTTTTACAAAGAAAAACTCTGGTTCAGTTGTGCCCACTACCCTGCAAGAGCTGAATTTGAATCACTCTGGTCCCTCAAGGGGAATAGAGCACATCTTGTCCATCTGCTGTAAATGATGAAGTTGCGCTGATGCTCCAACTAAAATTAGATGAGCAGCAGCGTCTGTTTGATACTAACAGGACAGATGATTTGCTGGCAGTGGGGGGTAGTGCTCATTGTCATTCACACCATGTTTATAAGTAAATGGTGAACCCGGGGTTTTCTCCGTCTTCCTCTTTTGCTCTTCGCCTTCTGTCGGTATTCCAGATGGATGTGGAGAAAAACAGCTTTCCTTTCTGACAGTCTGATCAGGGGGCCATGCAGTGCAGCAATGTCATTCTACAGCCAAGGTCTTCATTAAATAAGCCAGCTTAGATGAGAGGGAAGACAGGCATTTGCTAAGTCATCTTACTCTTAGGGAGCAAAGGAAGAGAGATAGAAATGGAAGGAGAGACAGCAGGGAAATTAATGATGTTGGAACAAAAGAAAAGTAGACTAATAATAATTTAACTTT